AAGCTGGCAAGATCGAGCCGCACAGAGACAACCAATCTCAGGTCGACGGTCGGGTTCCGAGCTGTGGTGTGGGTGGTTGGGGGCAAGCCACGCATGTTGGCCACAATGGGCAACATGCGTGGGGGTTGTCAGCTTTATTGTGGATCCAACTTGAAAGTTCTTGTTGAGGTAGCGACCTGTCAATCACTGCCCAATGAGAATGATCCCCGAATAAGTAAAAACCAAATTGGAAGAGCCCAATTGGAACCAGTAAATACCGAAGGAGCGATTTTGCCCACTAAGACCTCTCTTCCTGTCTTACGAGGAGTCCACGCGGACGCCCCAAACAGAAGACTGACGCCCCATGGAACTGCGCACCCCAAACCGTGGATTGCTTTGGCCCGGCGGGGGGGTCTTTTGTTAAATCGGGGTCCGGATTTCTGCTTTTTTTGTGGCTCAGATGTGCAGCCGGATGTGCCTCAGATTCTTGTCCGGATTTGTGGCTCGGATCACTAATTTGCCAGATTAGTTGGATGGTTTATGCCCGCTGCGACATTTCGTGCTCGATCAGGAACCGTCGTGTTCGGTGTTCACGTTTTCATCGAAGGGCTTGGTTGTGTGTCACTGCAGGCGTGGTTTGCTTGAAACAACAGTGTTGCAAATATAAGTTCTTTCAACACATGTTGTGATGTGTAGGTGGGTGTGTTTCAGAAACGAAACTCAAGTCACATCCTGAGTATGCTCGCACATGGGGCAAAGGAGCAAAAGCAGCAAAGGCAGAACAGCAGACCTCATGGGGCAAAGCAGCAAAAATCTAAGTTGCTTGCGGGCTTTCCCAGGCTCATTTAGCATCACGCCGCACAATGGCAATAGCAGTGGCCTTTGCAGGCCTACAGTAGGATTTTCAAGGCACTTCCTTGATTGTATGTGTATATATATATATACACATACATTGGTCCTTTCAGGACGTCGTGCACTTCAATCCATTCTCTTGGTTGTTTCGTTCTGTCAACGCATGTTCAGTTCAATAGTTTGAGGAACGCTCCGGGAGCGAACACACGAAGCCCAGAATCGTTCAACCCAAAACAATTGGCATAACCAGCATTGACACCGCTAAACCCCAGACTGAGGCCCTCACGGAACCCGCCGATTGCCAGGTGACGGTGGTGGTCTTGCTGTCGCAGCGGAAAGAATTTCAGGGCGGCGTCAATCACTTTGAGCCGGGCTACGAGGGCGGCGACGCTGGGCAAAGATATGAGGCGAAGTCCTAGCGACAAATCATATAATATGTGTTTTGAGGCCCGAGCCCCACCAAATCCGAGTTGGGCACTGTGTTACTTTGACAAATTGCCGTGTGCATCTTAAGGTATGAAGCTCCTTTTGTTGTGTTCAATGGGGACACGAATGTGTTTATGCTCGTTTCCCTCGCATTTTCCTTACTACTCCCTCCGAGGAGTAGGATCGAGTTGCATTCCCATGGTGACTTACACCTCGGGGTGATGTTGCTCACAACGTACAGCAGAATCATGCTGCGTTCCATGGTTGGGAGTTTAAGGAGGTTGGGAGTTTCCAGGGAGTTCGGGCCGAGTCCCATGGGCGACGGGCGGGTGGCACTGCGGGCGTTTGCCGACACAACGACATGCCGGGTGACTGAACTGCTTTTACTTGCGCATGCTAGGATCCGACAAGCACGCAATGTTCTCCGGGGCTTGTTTCCAAGACTTTTGTGTTCTGCTCCAGATGTGACTTATTCTCCACCCGACAACCTGTGGGTTCTTTGAGTTAAGACTTATTCGCTGCCATGCCATGCGTGGTGCTCAGTGTCCTCTCGACGGCGGCTGTGACAGAGTTGACCTAGACAGCTGCGACAGACTAAGCTCTGAGGATTGTGCTTATTAAGTGGCCCGAGTAAGATCCGATCCAGGCAGCCGTGCCGGATCCTCGCCGACTGGCCTGGGACAGACCAGAGTCTGAGGCTCCTTCCGATGGCCCGGCCCAGACAGCTGAGAATCTCGCCATTACCCAGACAGCCGCAAGCCAGACTTTGAGGCTACCGAGCTGACAGACCAAATTTTGACCAGACAGCTGTGAAACCATGGTGGCTCGCTGGTGACGCGTCCCAGACATTTGTGACAGACCAAATCCCCAGGCTTTCGCAAGTCCAGCGGCCAGACAATTGCAGCAAGCCCCACCCAAAGCAGCTGAGATAGACCAGACTCTGACCTTGAGTGACCGAGCAGCGCGGGGGGGGGCTTCCTCAAAACATGGACACGAGTGAGGCCTTGGTTTCTTTTGATTGGAAGATGAGATAATTGTGTTTGGTGCTAGGCCAGCCGCCAAGCGAAGCTGAACTCAGGCGGGCGCCGGGCGTTGTTGTTCTGTGGACCACCAAGAGGGGGTGGTCAATAAGTCAGCCCCTGTAGAGGAGACTGGATGCGCAGACTGGACGCGCAGAAGCTGCATTCAATTGGTGGATCAGCATGAGAGTTGGACCCTGCCTAGCTCGCAAGATGCAGAGGCGAATCTGATGTACTTGGGACACCCAACTATACATGGCGTGTTCCCCACCTACAAAGAACATAGTGGCCACTGCATCTTCTGATCATGGCATGTGCTGCGGGCACCTTGATCGCATTCCTTTTGCACGAGCAGCCAGAAGTATGGTGCAGTGCATGTGCGTTGATGTTGAACTGGCTGGAAAGCGCCTGTATGGTACTGCCACACTGCCCCCCTCATTTGTGGCGGTTTGCATCGTCCCTGAAACAACACATTGTGGCAATTCAATGTCAGAGGGAACGCTGAAGACTCTGACGTCACAGGCCTTGCGCAGACCTATACACAATGAAACAGCACTGTTTTGTTGAGGTGTGGATTTGAGAGCAGGTTTGTCAATGTGGTTTTCTGGCATAGTCAAGTCCCGGTTGACATCACAAGCGCGTTGAATGTTGTAAGCGGTACATGCGAGCCTTTCCTTTGTTCATTTGACTATTGCGTGACTTGTACAGGCGCCTTTGCACACTTACCCATATTTGCCAGATTAATTTGTAGCCACGATGACTTTGGGAGACATGACGTTGGCTGACATGCTGCGGCTAAATGCTAAAGACTGGCCACCAAGGCTCCCTTGTATTCATGTATGCATAGACCCGGTGCAATGACGCCTGCTGATTAACCCGAAAGCAGTTTTATTCACGTTCACTTTGAAATGAAACTCACTGCTGGTAAAGGGCTCAAAAGTACTTTGCTATGTACTCTCATAGGAGAATCAGCACGAGGCATCTAGTTATCGCATTGTCTGTCTAAATACGTAGGACATGACTATGCTGCACAAATGCCAGTCACACGATATGAGCAATGATTTTTATTTATTGTCATCTACAGTAGTAAGGGGATGTTCTGGGGCACGCTCACCAAAATACCACTAGGAAATAGGGATAACTTACCAACATCGGAACCACCATCAATATTAACCGTGGCTCTTCCAATACCAGCCCTGCTGCACAACGGGCATGGCATGGTGCTTCCTCTCTCGCAGGTGACGCAGTCTTCTTCTTTGGCGATCAGTGCGAGCACTGGATCACACCAGTTACTGCTGGGCGTCGGACCATTCTGCAAATGGAGCCTTGGTTACAAACCCTAAGCACATAATATACAACTATATGGAGCGTATTGATTAATAGCAGTTGTCCATTTAATTGAGTATATTGTTGTTTACGAGGTTTTCTTTAAGTGATTGAATTGTACACATGATGTATGAAATGTGTAATGCATGTGATCTGTGTGTCTACATATGTACATATATATATATATATATATATTGTTGTCACCCCCCCCATTGATCCACTCTCACCTTCTGATACTGCGAAAACACAGTAAAAACAGTGTTTGAGCAGTTTTAAGCAGTTTGAAGCACATGGAGAACAGAACGGATTTCGTTCAGGAGTTTAGTTCATGTCGCAGATGTATTGATCTTGACCGGAACGTGATGATATCTATAGATATGTCCATGACATATAATATATATATATATATTGTATTATTGCAGCCCCGCACGATATCACCCCTACCCCTGGCCTACCCTCAGCTGCTCCAAAACTGAACCCAGACTAAGCAAGATGTACCCGTACCGGCGAATATTCATAAAGTACCAAATTGGTAGCAAGCCAAACCAGGCTTGGCTAAACTACCAAACCAAGGCCAACGCCAAGCCAATGCCAAGCCAATGCCAAGCCAATGCCAAGATACTGTAGGGGAGGTTGTCAGATGATCAGATATGCGTACGGCGGCACAAGATGAGGTATGTGCCTTGCCAGGCAGGCGCTAATACACGACGTCAAGGATGTGTTCTTCCTGACGCTGACTTTGAATCGCATTGTCCACTCTGGGTCCGCCAAAAAAACCACAAGCAAAGCACAAGCAACTTCAAGCAACTGTTCGGAGCGGAGGTTGCCACGTGCTCAGGTGGAAGGCCTGCTTACTTTTTGGTTGCTTGTTGTAGGATGGCGAAGGCAGCCATCAGACAGCCACACAGCCTTTTTAGCTCTGCTGGCAAAACATGGACTTGCGCCAGCCACATGTGAAGAACGGCATGTACTGAAGACTGTTCATGTTTTTGTGGTCTTACTGGTTTCCAAAGACTCAATCAGCTACTCATCGTGAGGTTTGACGGGCGTTTGACGGCAAGACATTTGTACAATGTGCTTGCAATAATCACTAATTGTGTTGGTCCAAACGTTCAGCCACCCATCTCGTTTGGCGGGCGTTTGGCCGAAATATAGAGTTTCGCAACATGTGCTTGCAATAATATTAACAATGTCGTTGTTCCAAAGTTGGCGAGCATCGAAGAGGACAATCACACCAGCACAGTTTGCAAGTTCCCGACCTGAGGTTTCAATGCATGAGCCCATGAAACTGGGTTGAACAGCTTTCAAGCGCATCCAGAGATGAAGTTGCAGCATGTTGCGTGACTTGTGACAGAGGCACATTCTTGAGGTTGCCTGCACTTCTGTCGTTCGCTGAATTGCCTGTTTTCATTCTTTGGTCGAGAACAGGCACTTGCCAATTGTTACAATATTGCCGCCCTTCAATTCATGCCCTGTGGGCAAGGTAGACCAAGATATTCTAACAGGAAGTTAATGCTCGTTACCTATGAGCAATTATTTGTTGGATGCTGGGAAACGTGATGAATGTCGCCCTTGAGCTTCTCAGGCGCTGGCATGCTAGGGCGCATTGTTGGATGGTCCGCTCTACTAGATCAGATATGCTTTGAGTGGAGGATCCAGCACTCGTGTAAGACAAAGGATCGATTTGACGCCTATTGTGGGCTCAGGTCGACTTGATAGCTTGGTTTCCGTTGCTATGCAACAGTATTCGGATGGTATCGGCTCAATCTGAGCAACAGCCATGCTACGATCGTCTGAGGAGCTGAGCCGGGGATGGCACAGAAGCTTCCTGGAATGCTGCTGCTAACGGCTGTCACGGCCGGCTGGTTTCGAGTCGGTGCGTAGATTTGTGCGATTAAACATGTGTTAGGACCGCTTCCAAATTCCCCAACTGCTTGCGAAGGTAATGGTTTGGCGGGGGCCTGTCATGTGGACGTATGGCCAAAAAATGTCAAGTCTCAAAAAAGACGATTGAACGGAGAGGGCCTTGCCCCCTCACGTGAAAACAGCTCTCGCCCTCTCTCACTCTTTCGCTTAGCCTTCGCTTTTTGCGTCTGTTTGTTTACGTGTTTAGCTTGTTATTGTTGATTGATTCATTTAGTTGTTTCTATTTATGTATTTATGTGTCTTTCTGAAATGTATATTTCTGTTTTGATTTATTGTTTTCTCTATGCCTTTCTTTCTTTCTTTCTTTCTTTCTTTCTTTCTTTATGTCTTTCTTTATTTTTGTTCTTTCTTTTTTGCTTTCTTTCTTTATTTATTTTGTTCCTTCTGTTCTTTCTTTGTTTTTGTCATTTGTTATTTTTCAGTTGTTTCTTTATGTGTTTGTGTTGTTCCTTCTTTCTTTCGTTATGTCTTTGTTGTTTTATGTTTATTTTCTTTCTTTCTTGCCTTCATTATTTCTGTATTCATTTCATGCTGTCTGTCTGTCTGTCCGTCCGCCGGTCTGTTTGTGTTGTCTTGCTGTCTTTATTATGTCTGTCGTTATCTTTGTCCATCCCTCTGTCTGTCTGTCTTTCTGTATGTCAGTCTGTCTGTTTGTCTGTCTGTGCGTCTGTCTGTCTATACTTTTGTGATTTTCGATACTTACTTCTGTCTGGCTGCGTTTGTCTTTTGTTTCTTACTTTGCATGTATGTATTTTGTTCTTTCTTTGTTTCCTTCCTTCTACCTTCCTTCCTTCCTTCCTTCCTTGCTTCCTTCCTTCCTTCCTTCCTTCCTTCCTTCCTTCCTTCCTTCCTTCCTTCCTTCCTTCCTTCCTTTGTTCCTCATTGGTGTCGTGTGTTTTCTGTCTGACGTGTTGTTTTCCTTAATTTGTTTTCTTTCTGTCTTGCATATGTACTCTATATTTACTTATTTACTTATTTGGTGTTTCTTGCTTTGCTTCTCTGTGTCTTTTATTTATGTATGTCATTATTAATATTTATTTGTTGCTTGTTTATTTGTTTCTTTGTGTTGTTTGCCGATTTGTTTATCTACTCATTCATTTATTTATTCATTTGTTTACTTATATGTGTGCACAATCATCTATTTATATTTTCATTCCTGAATCTCCTTTCGTCGTACACGTTTTCGTTTTTAGCTGATTCGTTACGCAGTGTTCATTGTCATTGTGGTACCTTTTTCAGAAAACACGAACTATATGTGTCTCTGTGTATTTGTATGTGTCTTTCTCTGTCTCGCTCTCTCCATATTTGTCTCGTTCCTCTCACCGGGACCGTCTCTTTCCATTTATTTCTCCATTTCTCGGCATCTCCGTTTAGCTTTCAGTGCTCCTTCTCATTCTGTTTCTCTCTCGGTCTCTCTTTTTTTTCTGGCGCGCCCTCTCTTTCTCTCTCTTTCTCTCTCTTGGACTCACTCCAGGGGCAGCGTTTGAGCTGCCGCGTTACACGTTTGGCAACGGTGCTGAGTTGGCACTGTTAAGGCTATGTAAATGGACATGTTTGTTCCAGTGGCGCTAAAGAGACTTCAAGTGAATCTTTGCATCATTGTTGTTTGGTATGTGTGTGTGTGTGTGATCGCCTCGAAAGTGGCAGGAGGGGCTTAGTTGCCCCATGGCAACCACGGGGGTGTTTTGCCCTAAGTAGTCAGGAGCAGTAAGTGTTTGCTTCCCCAAGGCTCTTTTCACAGGCAATCGTATAATGGGTCAATAGTTTCAACTACCAGGTACCCTATTTTTGACCACCCTTATGAGTAGTCCGAGGGTGACATTTGACATGGCAACATGATGTCCACCCCGCCAGGCTGTCGTGGATCTGCATCAAGGGATGTTCCACCTCGCGTTCGACGTTAGATGAGTTCAGGCACTGCGCCTGTCACATGAACGCCGTGGTTTTTCGGTCGCCAATGTTCAATACATCCAACTGCTACGCTTGTGAGAGATTTAAGTTGCAGTTCTAGGAATGAATACTGGGAAGACGGCGCCAACATAGCCGGAATATTTGTTTGTGATTGACGAAGGATTCAGGGAGAAAGTGCACAATGGTTCATGATTGTCTGGCCCTGGCTGCCTGAGCCCCAAGAACGAGTCAGGCGTGCAGGGGAGCTGCAGGGTCATAGCCGCTCTGCCAAAGCCCCGCCCCCTGGCGCCACACTCGATGCGGCCAAAAAGGGTCGCCATGGTCAACAGGGGAAGGTTGCTAACCAGAACTGGCGCTTCGGTTGTGTCAGAAACGCATTCGCCCTGGAAATATTCGATCTTTGAAGCGCAATCACATTCGGCGAAGAAATACGCAGGCCCACAAGCACAGGACAGCCCTAATTCTGAGTTGTTTTTTCCAGGGGCATAAAACACACTTGTTTAGCTCAGTGATTCCATGTACCTATAGGTAACCAAGTGAGGCACCCTAAAACCAAGATGCCAAAATGGCCGGTTACTATACTCAACTGGAATCCAATGGGTAGTATTCGTAAATCGACTGACACCACTCCTATGGCAGGCAGCCGGAGTTAAATTGCAAGTGCCAGTCCCACTATGGATTACGGATTGCATACTGCCCCCCATTTTAACAACCCAGGTTCACCCTCCAACTGTGCTAATGCTGGCAGTGTTCTTGATCATGCATTTGTGTTTTGTGTGTGTGATTGTGGGGAATTGGACGACAACATGTGTTTGAGGCTCCAAAGTCGATCTACTCTGAAGACGCATGAGGCCAAGACGCATTTTCCTAGCTTATTCAGCACAAGCTGCACAAGTGGCAGACATTTGCGACCGACTTCGACGATGGGCATGCTAGACCTGCCCTATTGAGCTAAAATGGCCCTTTGGGGACAAATTGAACTGCTGGGTTTTTGCAGCACCAGCAGGTGAACAAACCTGCAGGTGTTTGCACCCTCAGATTTTGAGCCAAAATGCAGGGCCCCCAAAGTCATTGACGTTGATACGGATTCGGTCGAGACGACACCCATCGCAAATGTACGATTGTCTCTACCATCTACGCGCTGAACTGGAGTCGCCAGATTCTGAGAAGCCCTGTACTTCGGTGAACGAACAGGCCAGCGGAAACCAGAGCTTGTGTGTGTGTGTGTCCTGGCGCGCATGAATGCGAATTTGCACGTGCTTACTGAGTGGGCATGAAAGTTCCCACACCTCACCGGACCCACTGATCAAGGTTTTTGAGAAGACTGAGGACGACCTTATGAATGTGTTCTTGCTGCCACAGTGACGTTTGATTGTTTGGGTAGCATGCTACTTACTTGACTGATGCCTGTGAGCGTATGGAATAGCACTGGAAGTGGCTCTATTGATGAACCGTAACATTATCTTCTGAAGTAGGATGGTGTGTGTGTGTGACCGTGGTTGTGCAAAGTGCAATGCTAAGATCAGCTATAGCTTTTTGCTCTTGTGTGTGTAGTCTTCTGCTCCAACTCTTCGCGGTATGTTTGTGCAATTGAAACCATGCAGCTAGTAAACATTGTCAAAGTTGCTCGATTCATAGATTTATGTTACCTGCTCGCTTGATAGCTGACTCAATGGCTCAAACAGCCCTTCCAGGTGGCTCATAGCGAATGAGTGAACATGAAAAAACAGTCCCTTCACTCAGCTGAAGAATCGCGCAGCTACACATATTCCTCAGAGCAGCTGCAACTGGTAGTCCCGGCTTTCCAGTTTTGTCCATTGCGAGAATGCCCCGACGAGCTTCGACTTCCATGAAGGAACGGCACAGGGAAGCTAGAATGAATCACTGACTGAGATCAGGACACCAAAGACTCACCCACCGAAACCTGCATTTGTTCAGCACTCCAATGAGCGGCCTCACGACGCGCGTGCCTCGCTGAAATGCCGGATCCTGAAATAATGTGGCTCATGGACCGCGAGTCAGGCAAGCGGATGACAAGCCGGGATAGGAGCAAGATGTGGGATGGTGTCGAAATCAGCTCGTTTCAATTGGTGATAGTTTTCCCTTTGTTCATTTTGAGTGCTGAAAACGGTGTCCTGTTTGGTCGCCTCTGGTTCGGTGTTTGTACTCATTCTCAGGCACACTGCTGCAGTCCCACAAATGTGATGGCAAGTATCAATGAGTGCTGCTAGTCGATGTTATGTTTTTTACCGATCTCCTACCAAGGTTGCAGGAGTGTGGACTCACGAGACCAGGTGCCTGCAGCAGATTTTATAAGCTCATCTCATTGTCTCACATCCATTGTAGACACCGCATGTTTTTGCTGTGACTCATATGGCCGTGATTGCTTTGAGTGGTCTGTAACAGAGCCGCGGCGGACATTTGTTGCCGACCTCGTTACAGACCTCTGTAACAAGACCTGCTGGCCCGTTACACACCCCTCGTTGCACACCCTCGTTACACACCTCAGATTCTGATGAACAAACCGCTTGGCTGGCTCCACGCCCCTCGCTACATACCCCAATGCATGCACAGACTCTCAGTGATTCCCATGGTGCCTGCAGAGCAGACTGTTGCAGAGCATTGCTTTTGCTGAAGAGTCAACTTGCGGGGAGCTTACCATTCAGATAAAAAGTTGGAACAAAAACCGCTAGACCTCGTTGCGGGCCTTGTTACATAGCCATATATAACTTGCTGCAGACCCAACCCCAGCCCGGGCCAGCGACCCCCCTTTTGCCGCGGCTTGGCTTGCGTTGAATAGCTGCAATCAAGCTGGAGCTGCGGTGGCGCTGCGCTTTGTTCGTTACATAGCGGCTACATACCTCGTTACAGACCCAACCCCAGCCCAGGGCAGCAACCCCTTTTTGCCGCAGCTTGGCTTGCGTTGAATAGCCGCAATCAAGCTGGAGCTGCGGAGGCTCGTATCAGCGTTACATGGCCGTTACACACCTCGCTACAGACCCAAGACCCAACCTCAGCCCAGGCCAGCGACCCCCCTGTTTGCCGCTTGCGTTGAATAGCTGAATCGAGCTGGAGCTGCGGAGGCGCGCTTTGCATACTGCCCTTTGCGCGTACTGCGCTTTGCTTTGCTTTGTTACAGACCACGTTACATAGCCGTTACATACCGCGTTGCAGACTCAACCCCAGGCCGGGCCAGTGGCCCCCCTTTCTGCCATCGCTTGGAAATTTCAAGCTGGAGCTGTGCAGAAGAGTTGCGACCGGGAGCTGCTGCTCTTCCTTGTTCTGCGCCACATTGTGCTACTGATACTGGTACTTGTCAAGGAATGTTTTCCCGTTAAAGACCGGGACCTGCGAAACAAGGACCTCCGTTGCAGACCTCCGTAACCAGATTCGTGGCGGGTCGCGCGTGCGGACCCTGAAAACAAATCATAACCATACGCATATGTCATATGATGTTCTCTGGAAGCAACTCGTGTTTTGGCTGCATCGCTGCAGAACACGGAGCCATATTTTCCACGGTCCCAAGGCCCCTTTACTTGGGGTTGATAGGGATGGTTATCCAAATGGTAGAATGACAATAACCATGGTTCGTAATGAATCCAAGGGAACCATGACCATAGTATGTCATAGTCCATCAGACTTTTGATCTTGGTTCATATTTAAACATGGACATGGGAAGCAGTTCGCCAGGGTTCAGCCGGCAGGCCCTGGAGTGGCGTCAACCTACTCCAAGATCTCTAGGGTATCAGGCCGCAGGGATGGCTGGGTCTGTTGAATCTTGGGATTTCGGTTTGGTTTCCATGAGCTGGTTGGAGCTGGTTGGCCTAGATGGAGAAGATTTGACAAATTGATTCACTGATCCACGTCAAGGTAGTTGTTTTTTTCAGGCAATTTTAGTTGACATGGACACATGGAGTCTTCACCATCGGTGAAACCGATAAAACGGCACCAGAACAAACCGTGCCCTGTATTGCGCTATCCTCGATTGTGTGTAAGTTTTTGGCAGTGGACTCCCGAAGGCGCACATATTGCCGTTGGACAGCAAGGGCCGGAAAGTTCAGCATATATCGAGCGCGTCTGGCAACGGCGGCATGTGGCGATTTCAAGTGTGTTTCAGATTGTCACCCCCTTCGATTGAGTTGCCAGCCGACGTTCCACAAACTGCCAAGAGACAAGGGACTTAGTGTTTGTTTTTCCATGGCAGTTTTGCTCGTACACGACAACCCTTGAATGAGCTTAGCACATCCTCTTGGTCTCGATAGACTCGATCCAGCACCAGTCAGAACAGCACAAGTTCAAGGCAGGCCCTGCCAAGCTACCCGGCAGGTTCCCGCAAGAGAGTGGAATTCATATTCGGCACAAGCCCGCTTGATCATAACAACAAACACACAGGCGGGCGGGCTTAGAAGTGACTATCAATCTTTACATCATGTCAGAGCTCACTGCATTCTATTTTCATCCAACATCATATTTTCAGGCATGCGTCCCAACTGGTGCACGGGGCATGTGTGCACCGGAAAGTGTATGGACGCGTCAGTTTCAAGTATTAAGTGGTTTTGGAATGAACTGAAAAGCTGAGGCGCATGGGCAGACAGGGCATGTTCTCATTGACCAAACACTTCGAGCCGCAGCCAGTCCGGAAAGCAAGAATAAGATATTCTGCACGAACGCGTCGTTTAGAAGACAGGGATTGGATTGACTCACTCCAGTTTGTTGATTGCAGATCCGCTGTTTGTGGAATGACTATTAATGTAGTTCTAGCTGGATCCTGTGTTTGTAGCTCTTGTTGTTTTATACAGGAACCTGCCAACTACTCGGCTCCGTTATCCACCATGAATGATCCCAAATGTAGTCGTCAGCGGATAATGCCGACCGCATAGCGAGAAAAATCTCCCAGATGTGTCTTGCAGGCGATGTGAAAGTCTTCGAGTGGGACGGGCGCTGGGTTACGGAGAATCGTAGGTGTCCGACATGTTGTTGAACTTCGAGCCACTATGAACGACCAGTTCATTTACTAGATTCATTCATGTTGCAACCGAGGAAAACACATCACTATGAGAAAGCCACTTCTTTGTCAGGTTGGTTGACCCAAGTCTGCTCGGTTCAAATTAGGCTTTCCAAATTTGGCCATCATCAATGGGGCCACCTGGTTGGCTTTGATGGTCATGTTCGCGGGGAGTGGCAAGCAATGAGGCATCCGCCCAGCACTTTGCAATCAATGTTGTAGATATCCAGGATTCAGTAGGTGAGCCTGTCAATCACACAACAGACGATCAGCAAGCAGGAAAAGCGACTCTGGAGGTGAGCGCACGTGAGCGAATCTGAGTGCTAAACTTGAGCCCCAGAGCCACGGATGCTGACTTATCGTAGCCGAACACGTGTTGAACACAGACGAACCCACCTGTTTCTCTAACACACTTGGTGCTGCCTGTAGCTATGATGTCCTTAATGGCCAAGAATTCGGTGATGTTATCCAAGAGCAAGCTGCGTGTACTTGAACTGCATGTGTTTGTTTGTTGGTTGGATTCGGAGTTTTGTTGGATGTGCGATGCTCAGACGAGGCATAGATTTGCCCAGTGGCCTCTCAGTGAGTACCTGGTTCAAGCTTCTTCGGCTTGTAGGCATTGCTCTCTGGTCGCTCTGTAGCTCGGTAGCTCGTGGTTCAAAGAGAGATGGTCATCATAGCCCTGACTTAGTACTATTTAGGGGATGGTTTCGCCAATGTAATGAGGCTTATTGAATGAATGATCATGAATACAAGGATTCCGCTGCATGTCCGAACTCAAGCACTGGAAGCAGCGAGACTCGCCCTCCTCATCGAATGCTTCTGCCACTTGGTATGCGGCTGGCACCTCTTGGGTTCTGCAGTGCCACCAAGCATCAGGTCCATTTGCCGGCGAAACGAGAGGATCATGCACCCCTGGGAAGGGCTGGAGAGGGGGGCTATCCCTGGAGAAGCGCCAAGGACAAGCCACGGATAAGCCCAGGAGATGCCAAGGATAAGCCCTTGAGGTCTTATGGGCCAATAAGGGGCCCAAGGATAAGCCAAGGATAAGGCCTTAAGGTCTTAAGGGGCCAACAGCGGATAGCCCCCCTCCTCATAGCCCTTGCAGTCCATGAGAGGAGCAGCTCGGGGAGCCCATCTTCGTCTTTGGCTACACCGCCATGGTGGTGGGCGCCATGGCTTTTCATCGGACCCGGGGGGACGGAGCGGGGCGCGGGGGGACCGGGGGGTCGACGGGCCAAGGCACTCACTGGGCCTTTGGAGTTCGGAGGCTGTTGATATCGAGGTCCTACTGTGGATGGACGAAATCCAGTTCGCACCACTTTGAAACCATGGGAAACCATGGTTGGCTGGTATTTGCAGGGAAATCAGCACTCTAGGGTTCTTTAGGCGGTGCAGGATTTCGTCCATCCGGAGTATGTAGGGGGCGTCCCTGAAAGTGAGGACAAGAGCTATGGCGCCATTTGGAAAAAGAGTGCCTTAAGTGTGACTGCTTTCAGATCATTTGGGAATGGTTGAGTCACGCCAGATAGGTCTGTTCACTTGGTGGGGTCAAGGGTTCTTTTGTATGTTTTTTTTTGGGGGGATTGTTGATTCAGGGTTCCTTTGTTTTGCCATCCACACACATGCTCGATGTTACCAATTGATGTGTTGTTGGTCGTTTCGATGAAACAAAGCTGAAAGGGGCCACAATGGCCGGGGCAAAGGGAAATGCCTTAGGACAGACGTCATAGGACGCGCGTGAACAGTGCAACATCAGGGGAGGTCATTCATGCACTCATGCTTGAGTCGCGCACACACACACACACATATACACACAGAGCTGTTGACAGCAGCCACATTTGCCGGCCACTTCTTCATGCTGTAGGCTTAGGGCAAAACAATTAACGAAAACATGAAAAGGAAAGGACAAATCTGCCGTACTAGAAGCCCTTGCAGCAGCCATCATGTCTACCATTTGCATATGATTATCTCATATGTGACACAAACATGAATTTGGGAAAGGCTCAACTTCATCAATTTAGCCAGGTGCATCAGTTGTTTTTTCTTGGGGTTGCAAATCTTGAACGGAGTTCAGCGTAGTCCCCAAATTGGTGCCTTGTTGCGTGCCAAGTTGTGTGCTTTTCTGCATGCATTGCAAGGCTTCGATACAGTACGTGACAACCACTGCAAGGGCATTGTTGCGCTGAGAAGCTGTTTCGAAAATGATAGTTGCAACCAGAGCAGATGTTTCCAGTTGTTGTTATCGTGTTTGTGATCGAGGTCGTTATGTGGTGTTGGTGTGTGTGTGTGTGTGTGTGTGTTGTCAAACGCTTTTGCGCCGCCCAGGGCGACAGCAGCTTGGCAGCCAGATTGCTGGTGGCTTTGCACTGCTCAGACTTGCGCACTTGGTGGAGGGGTGGAGTGTTTGCTGTTCCTTTCTTTTTGGCCTGGCTGCACATTTGCCGGCTCGGGAGGCTCGCGCCTGCATGAAAAGGGCCGCTGAATCAAAAACTTGAGACGGGCGCTGACAACCTTGAGTAGAGTCCAAAACCTCCGTGTACTAGTACTTACTTAGAAAGAGTTGCGTCACATCGACCTGCACGTAAGCAAAACCTTCACATCTGTCTCATAAGCCAAAACATGCGTTGCGTAAGGTTTGCGTAAGCAGAACCGTAGGCAAGATTATGTGACATGGCAAGTCATTACATGTTTAGGACATGTTGACGTGTGTGTTGCCTCCTCCGCTGGGGGGGTCTCTTCTTCCAAGAAACCTGCTGAAAAACGTCGCGATGTTCTGGAGTGCTTAAGGAGGTACTCTTTCTTCTACCTCTTTTCGGCCTTTTGGATGAGGCACGGTCATTGCTTCCTCGATGGTTTGAACATCACCTTGGGCAGGGCTCCTTAAAAGATACATTTTGCAACCAATTGAAACATGGCTTTTTGAACCAAAATAAGGGGAACCACCATTTACAAGGCAATGTTCAGGTGTATCATGTAAGGATCCCTGTTGGGCCATTGATGTGGTAAGGCACCGTGAGGCACCTCCCGCTCGCCGAGGTGCCTGGTCCTGGTGGTGATCGCACTTCAGGTCTTCTCCACGCGCGCCACGGCCCGAAAAAGCATAGATGGGTCCGGTCCAGGGGGTTACTGGCCAAAACCGAGGGATGAAGAAGTGCGCCTGGCGTCAGTCTGCCGTTTTGATTCCTTTCAATGTTTGGCAACTACTATGGTTCAGGTGCAATCTTCGTCCATGCCAGGTATCAACACTGACTTCAATTGTTTGTGCATGAGACCGGCTCGCCCAGTAAATGCTTGTTGTAGGCTTCGTTTTGTTTTTGTTTTAGTCAGCAAAAGCAGCAGCGCCAGGACTTGCAATTACCAGGCTGTAAAGGAGCTTCAAAGTACCAGGCTACAACCTCATGGTTCACAACACATTGGCAGTGTTTACATCTCCCAAGTGCAACAACACATGGCTTGCAACATGGTAGCTTTCATGAATGTTTCAGTGTGGTGTCTTTTTCAACATGAACAGGTTCTGCTCTGCTGTACAACGTTTGTTTCTTGCGCTCCACTCTTTGAGTCATGAGGCGTGCAGAGGTTTTTGCAGCAAGCCCAAGTGAAGAACTACCTGATGCAATGTGACGAAGCAGCTCGGCAAAGCATTTTGTGGGATGCTGCTTGGCACGCGAAGTGTTTGTTTTGTTCTGGGCAGGGTTCTGACTGGTTTTGCTTCTTGACTGGATTGCTGTATAGTTGTCCTTTGCTTGCTACTTGTTTGCTCGTGCTGATGCTACTGCTTCTGTGTTCAGTAGATGTTAGCTGTGCGTTTGCTGCATTTGCTGCTGCATTTGCTGCTGCATTTGCTGCTGCTGCTGCTGCTGCTGCTGCTGCTGCTGCTGCTGCTGCTGCTGCTTGGGCGGCTTGAACCTTGTCGGCGGAGAAGTACAAAGGACCAATGCGCCAATGTGCCAAGGAAGCGATCGGCGTCTTTCAGGATGTAGTCTGCGAGACAACCAAGGCTTTTGTGCGGAAGCTGGGCAGCAAACAAAGAGATGCCAACAGGTACACGAGAGCTACACATGATGAATGTGCGCATATACATGCTTGAACAGTATACAACTGTCTATACATATTATTATATAGACATCAACATACACATGGGAATGCATTTCACCATCGGGGGACGCCCACGCCTGTTTTTGTTCCACCTGGTGGGCTTCTCATCTTCTCATTTCGCTCGAATCTACTCATTCGTGCCACAGATTGGCACTGAGCCGGCGAGTGAGCGCCGAGCGTTTCGTTTGTGGATTGCAGATATCTTTCGGGGTCCAGATTGAGTTTTCCTGCTTGGACACCTCTCCGGACACCACCCCTGCGCCCAGTCACATGGAACCGAAGACCTAGGCGGAGAGCCCTTGACTTCGGCGCGAGTCTTTTTCGGGACCGCAGGAGTGATGACATGGCCATGGTGTCATTCAGAAATCCGGTTGAGGAATCCGCAGCATCTTTTTAGCATCCGACTGGAGGGAGATTTGCGCTTGAGAGGGTATGGGCAGATATATTGGCAGCGTTTCTCTTGATCGACGCAAAGGTGATTGGACAGTGACTCGGTTCCTCCTTGCATGCCGCTCGTTCTTCGCCTGTTTCTCTGTCCCTGTTGAGAGCGCATCTACAATTTTGGCATGCGGAAGGAATTGTCCCACTCATGACACACACATGTATGAGGGGTTCCAGTGAAATCTCAACAGGAACGGCTACATGGGCAAGCGGCTTGGAACAACTTGGAAGTGTCGAGCTCAGGTGCTTCCCCGTGGTGTCGATCTTGGTGGCGGTCGTTGTTGCGTCGCAGTTGATCCTGTGCCAGCGCTTGTGCCTGGGCTGCGCTGCCCGAGTACATCGCTTGCCATAGACCTCTGGGTCAAAGTTCAAATCGTTCCCCCAGTGAACGGGACCCAATCCAACCACTAAAATAGGCTCTGAAATGGGTGGTGCACTTACCAACAAAAATAGTACCATTGGTTTGGACTCACAGCCATATGCAGAAGTGCATGAGCATGACCATTCCCGCTCAAGGAGCTTGAAGTACTAGGAATTACTCACAATCATAGCAGAGTGCAACCCGCTCTTGTCACAAAATCAGCAGCAACTGAAACACCGCTGTTTGCATGTCGCACTGAGAAGGCTACCTTTTGACAGCTTCAGATTCTGTGATCCTCCAATCTAGACATCAGTATCGTCAGCCCTCGAGTTGTTCCAAGATCAGAGTCAGTTGCCCACACATGTACATTAGGGGGAGACTCAGAGACGGGAAGAAGAGCCATTACAAGTTGTTTAGACTGCATATCCATGGATTTGCATGTGACCCAGTCTTGACTCCAGATGCCCAGGAAAGTTAAACGCACGACCCGCGTTAGGGTCCGTTTCTGAGCAGTTCGGATGCATTAGGCCTCAACGGCTGAGGTTCTATCTCATGATTCGCAATGGCGTCCTTGTCGACTTTCAGAATTTGTCGCCTTTCAAGGACGGAATTCGTTCACCGAATGTTTGCTCAATGCCTTGCTGCTGTCGCCTTTGATGCAGACAGAGCTACATGCAGTTGCGGGGATCGATAGGATGCCTCAGCACCTAAGCCCCCTAATTAAAAAAGCAAAAAGGCTCTACCCCCCCCCCCCCGCCCCCCCCCCCAAGTGAAAACACCTTGGAGAGTTGCTTTTTTAGGGTCCCCCGGTTTTTGGCCAGAACTGTTTCAGACTGCGTTGTTTAGTGTTGGGCTCAAGTTTGACACGGGATCCGTTGGATTGCAAGAAAAAGTGTTCATAGTGCAACTTTTGAGTAATATTTTTTGAAGGGAAGGCACCCTCGTTTCTCACGCAGAGCAACCCTTTGGTTTAAAAGAGAAAAAGGCACTGAGAATACAACTTTGGAGTAAGACCTTATGAAGGAAACCTAATGCAGACCCTAATAATGAAAACCGGTCCTGCGGCCCCTAACAAGCACATCCGGGGAGCTTGGCTGGGTTCATCAGGTTTCTGGAGAGTTTTGTGCTGGTTTAGTATTGGCTAATTTACAGTTAGTATTGGCATGTTTTTGGGTCGGCTGGCGGGGTTTCTAGTATTGAAGGTCCGTGTGTATAAATAGGAAGAAGTGATTCATGAATATCAATACTGCCCCAATAGGGGGATTGAACGCAACACACCGAGACCTTAAAGCATGTTTGGCATGATGAGGTTGCAAACCAATGTCATTGGTTTTCTTTCAAGCTTTCCCATCAACAGCTTGCTGTTGATTAACTTGGACGATCGGGTACAATCCCAGTCTGGAAGACATGCTGATATGATTGACAGAGGCTCAACGAAGGGTGCTTAGGCTCACCCAAGGTTGCTGGGTTATCAGAAAGCTTGTTCAACGAAAATGTGCAATAGCGAAGGCATCCCTTACAACCTTGGCAATGAGTAAAGTATGAGTTTTATGTTGAATTGTGTTCGCTCAGCCAATCATGCTGAAGGGCAGTAAGTGTTTGAGGCCTCTGAGTTTAATCGTACTTATGTTATCTTTGTTTCAAAGACGCCACTATGGCGATGAAGTAGTGTGTTCCATTTCGGTGCGTGTGTGTGAGTGGCAGTTGCAGTCGTTTCTAAATATTTTTGAAGTTTGCTCGTATGCTGTGCATTTAGCCACTGGTTTCCGGCAAATTGTAACGAGCTATCAACATGGCTACAATGACTGCTTTTTGATTTGACCAAATCGCCCCTTCGACGTTTTGGAAACAAATGGCTTTGCCGTCGAACCCACAAAAGGTTAGCCCTCTTCTGAGGGCGGAAGAACAACCAAACTAATTTCGCCCGTCACCAACCCGCAGGACCCGCTCTTTTGGTGGGTGCTAGTCAACGGTGTGAGCATCTCAGAGTCGATGTTTCGCAGATCGCACTGGCATGCGAGCAGCTCTTAGATGCAAACCGGTGGACTACATACATAGCATGGTTGCGTGCAACAGTTTGAGGAGTGACATAGGAGTGACACTTTTCATGCTCCAGCAGAAATGTCTAGATTTGGGCAGATTGCAGGCGTATACAAATATATGTGTTTATATGTAAATAGTGTTGGGCAACTTACATGTTGCTATGAGTATGCAACACACACACGCACACGCACACACACACACACACACACATATGTGACAACCCCGTAGTGCCACACTTCCACCGCGAAAGGTGACGGAAGATGCGGTATTCTTTCTTCATTTCCTCATTAGATAGCCATGGCATGGTGTTGTGGTTGCGTTTCTAAGGGCATGGGTTGATGTCAGTTTTTGAGGGCAACGACATGCCCGAACAAGCGAAAGGCAACATAATTTGCTGGAAGTCTGGCGATTCTCATGTTGGCCAAGTAATGAGTCTAACTGGCTAGGCTACAAAGCAACACCCTAACAAACAAGGCTAAATACACAGCTTTGCGCGGGAGGTTTGCAGAATCGCAAAAGGATGTCCATGGGAATTGCCCGTGCTCGTACTAGATGTAGCGCAGGGTAAGTTGTTTGTCCGAGACTTCCGCCGAAACAAGCAGCGTTGTTCGCAGAAGCAACTTGCACTTATCCAGCAAAAGACTTGCACTGCGGCAGACGGGAGAAGCACTTAAACATAAATATGCTTGGTGGATCTACCACCGAGAGCAATGGAAGCTTGGCGGACGGTTCGCGGAAGTCTAGTTTCAAAGCGCGTCCAAACAGCCTCTTAGCCGGAGGTGGATACTTACTCGCGCAACTTGTTCCACGTGTTCTTTCCTGAGAACGAGTCGTGTGGGATGATGCTTTGAGATTGGTCTGCAGGTTTCAGATAGTTATCCAGCAATGATTGCACCCATAGCCTGAGGCTTAAAGTGCATTACCAAGTCGTTTGTCAGAAAGTTCAGGTCAAATTAAAAATGCCACAATTCAGACAGGGACATCGAGATGCCAGCGCAGAGACATCGAGCTTCCATCTCCAACATATTCCGGCAGATTCAATTTAGGCCCTGTTGGCTCAGCTGACGGAAGATTCGACATTGGTCGGATTCGAACTGATAGCAATCCCTCGGCAGTGTCTGCCCTTTTTGTTGAGCCTTTTTGATCGAATGTCAAGGTCCTTGCCATGTCGCACTTCGGCTTCCACATGTTGGTGGCAGAGCAGATGCACATCGGCAAGGACAACCTGGAGAATGTGGTGGTCACTCAACCCAAGCTGCAAGTTTTCTGCGCCAACAAAACCTGAGACTTTCTGAGGCAATGGCTGCCAACCCAGGAAATAGGAAACCAGAAACCCAGTACCACAGGGACCAAACTGAATGCCCCCGAGAAAGTGTGGGGCTAGAGTCTATTGAAGATAGTACCGATCATGGCTCGTGCCCACAGTATGCAACTTGTTTTTGTTGGTCTGCACTTGGAGACATAACTACTGTCTCTCGGTGGAGGCGGCCTCTTCGGACAGAAGTTCGTCATGTCATTCGTTGCATGCCCCCGCTACAGTGATTGCATGGCTGCTTTCAAGAACTCAGCCACGGCAACAGTATGATGACTGAGCAATGTCATCTTTTCAAATGCGCCGTGCCGTGTGCCGAGACCGACTGTGCAGCATTGAGGTTCCAGGTAGGAAGGAAAGGGGTTGACTTGTGTCACGTACCCTGCATGCTTGCCATTTTATGCAAAGGAGGTTCCCATGTTGACCTATCATCAAAAGCTGTGCAGGGTAGAGTGGCGCAAACAAAACATGTTAGTGCTCACAAAAGCACAGGGTTACAACTACCCAAGGACCGTCCGATTAGGATTTGTGAATTCATTGACAACTACAAACCCATGATTGCACCAACATCGTTTACCGTCTGGCACACCCAACTTGGATTCACAGGCAGCTTGCTTGCTTGCAATATCCGAGGCGTCTTTGAAGCAGGCCTCTCAGCTGCGCTAGTCTTCATTGCTGCAACCTGCTCTCTTGAGTCGACATCAGTTGAGGTGACACCATGTGAAAAGTTGCAGCGGTGCCTCTTTGACCAAGATGGGGCGACTGTATTATACATAAGAATTCAAAACACGCGAGCCACACTTGGCACCAGCAGGTCAATCAAAGAGACGAACAAAGCACCATGGTCATTTCCGGTCTTGCAGCTAGTCTGGCCATGGGCGAAAAGCCCGTACCCCCAGTGAACATCCCGCTCCCCACTAAAATAGGCTCTAAAATGGGTGGTGCACCTATTCCTAAAATGGTACCATTGGTTTTGACCCACCGCCATTTGCTCTTGATTCATTGCTTTGCCTGCGTGTCTCTGGGGGACGGTGGCCGGGCGGATGTCCAGCCTTGCAAGCCAGGGATCCACCCCGCAACTGCTGGAGGATTCGATGTGCTTTGAAGTCGAGGCACAGTCCCTAGATGATACGATGTTTGATTGTTTCTGCGGTTAATTATATGCAAACTGTGGCAACTGTGGGGTTGCTTTGATTGGCAAGGTTGGCTGGTAAATTTGGTGAATATGAATGTGACTGCTTGAGTTGTTTGTTGCTTAATTGTTTTGATGCAAAGGAGCTTGTTCCAGCAGCTTCGGTTAACCAGACTTGGCACTCAACAGGAATTCGGCCTGACTCTCCGTTTGAGGATGCCATCTTCTTCGGTTTGCCGGCAATGTTCTACGTGGTATTTCTTTACTTGTCCTATGACGTGGAGTGGCTGCTGCTGCCGTTGAGCAAGTTCTGGGAGGCGGATCCGGAGTGGGCCTACCGGACCTCGCGCGATTTAGCGACCCGGCGGTTCTGGCTACGAATCCGGGTCGAATGGAGCACCGAGTGCGGGACCTTTTGCGGGAGTTTGGGGTGGCCAAACAAAAAGGCGCGGCAACCACTTGTATGCAGCAATGAGGTCGATACCTCTGCATGATGGCACGGGCTCAGTCTTTTGCCGGCCTTGTTGTGACGCCACGTTAACTCGAAGCTCTTTGTTTGTCTCAAGACTGCTTTCGAGACTGCTTTCATCTGTTGGTCCCGACCTGGGACTTTTCTCAAATTTTGGCAGGTCGAGACACACATCGAGTGTAGAATATCCATTGTTCACAACGGCTTCTCCATTATGTTGGCTCCATTCTTGGGAGCCGTTGAACGCCCTTTGGCAATTGGGTGTCCCGCTTTGCTTGCCCTGCTATCACAAGGCATCAACTACCCTCGCAGACATGCTACCCCAGCACAGTCACGTTTAGACAGGCGCGCAGTTGCTGTTGCATGGAAGCCTTGAGTCTGTTCTGAAGCACGGGAGCCCCGATCGCTGCAAACAGTTCCAACCTTGAGCAGTCAGTTTCCGAGTTACTTTTCCCGTGGTGCTTTTCGGCATGTACGGATGTCTGTTCTGACACAATCCAGAATCCCTTTGGATGTGATGGGCTACTAGTGTGCCCATGTTCCTATTGGCCATTGGTTTTAATCCCTATTACTAGCTGTGATCAAGTGAATGCCAAAGCATGATGGTTGATAAATAGGGTTGTCTCAAAATCGGGGACCGCCTAAATTTGTGGGTGTCCTTGTGTTTCTCATTAAACCCATCCCCAAAAAGGGTTTTTTACCTCGACAAAAAGACACATGGCTCTGGGTCCAAACCAGTGGTACTATTTTGGGGTGGGTGCACCACTCATTTGAGTCTATTTTAGTGGTTGGATTGGGATGTTCACTGGGGGTAGGGGGATTTTGACCAATGGCCACATCTTTCGCACAGAGCACTGAGACTGGCCCAGGTCTTTGTGACGGAGAATGTGGCCTGCAAAGCTTCGCTCGAGGATCCTGGCTCCATTCAGGCAGGTGCAGCCGAAAAAACGCTCAGGCGGTTGGTTTGCGGTTCCACATGGGGGCCGAGAGAAAAGTTTTGCTCCAGAAGATAAGAGGTGAGCCCTACAGGTTTGGAGTGCAAGAGGGAACACCAACGAGCACATTTGCTGCCAACTGCATCGTTTCCATTTTGTCTGTACGGCTGTTGGGCAATGAGGTAGGAGGGGTGGTGACATGGCTCAATGTTCGGTCGTCATTTGCGCTATTCTGCGATCAGTTTGAGAAGGACGGGACGGGGGGGTACTTGCCAATGTTCCCATGTTTATGACGGACAATGGGCTTTTGGAGCTTGAACAAGTAGCCGTAGCCGCGAAGCTAGGAGACGCAACATTTTCACCTTCACACACTTCGTGTGCGCCACCACACCCCGCGATACATCAACGGGCGGCGTTCCCGCAGTCTCACCCCGTCCCTCTCCAGATCCAAATACGAGCCCTTGATGTACCCCGAAGTCCAATTCTTTGGTCCAATTCTTTTGGAAAGCCCGGGTTCTACCGTGCATGGAAAGCCACCAGGAGGAAACCCAGAAAAGGTAAGCGAGTGTGGTCTAGCAATAGAGCATAGTTCTTAGAATCAGCGCAAGCAAGCTGCGTTCTCCTTTGTATTGCTTGATGCCAGCATATATTGGGCTGAGCCAGATGGCAGCAGGAGTATGTGGATGAATCTTTCGAACTTAGCAGCCGACAGCTGGAAACAGCCCTTTCCTGCGTTTTGTCGGGATTGCAGATGTGAACACGCGCTGCCCTGGCCATATTCAAGAAATGCGGGCACAGGACAAGTTGCGCGGTCACGGGCCTCAAAAGGCCGTGTCAGACACGCAGGCAGCCTGCAGCAACTGGCAACCCAATCATGGGATCGCATATGTTCGCCATTGGACCTTGGCTAGGATTGCTGACGGCTATTTGTTCAAGGCGAGATTCAACCTTGGGTGTTCAGATACATGTGTGTTCCCCGAGAAAACTAGGAACAACACAAACCAGCAATTTGGGAGGGCACATACGAGCTGGGTTCCGGCCGTGCAGGATGTGGCTGAGGCCATTGTGCGGGTGACGCGAAGCCACTCGGACCTGGTGCTTTAGGGCCCTGGAAAAGTGATGTCCAAGAAGCATAATGCATCCCAACAGCCATGAGAACTCACATCACAAGCCATGGGCGGACTACATCGTTCAGGCTTTGGAGAGGCAACTGAGTTGTGAGACACGGCCATGCCTATTGCACGCATCCGTGTCCTGCGTGAATGGCAATGCATTTTTGTTTGGCGGTTCAACAAGTTCGACCCTGTGCTTGAGATTGGCAACGCTCAATAAGCAGGCCTGTATGCTTTATTGAAAAGGGATTGTTTGGGGGGAGTTTACTGGTACAATGCCATTGTAATGGTTGCGCGATGCTGGCTTTGTCTGAAGCAAAGGTTGTTTGTGCACCAGATCTCTTAGGCATGTTGGGGGCATCACATCTTAAGCTTAAGCATGGGAAAGATCATGCCATGCTTGGATTTGTTCTACAATTCTCAAGGTGTATCAGGCCAGTTAGATTCCAACGCTATATGTGAGACGTTCAACGCATGTGCAGGTCGTTGCTTGAACGTTGTCCCTACTGTATGCTGTCCTTTGGGTGGGCTAGACACTCTTGTTGACGGAGCATACAGTTGTTTGTTTGTGTGTTTGTTTATTTGTTTGCTTGTTTGCTTGCTTTTTTGTTTGTTTGTTTGTTTGTTTGTTTGTTTGTTTCCGTCTTTGTTTG